TACTACCATGATTTTGGAACAACACATGAATATTTAGCTTTTGCAAATGCTATTTCTACTCGTATAGCCTGTACAAGATCACTTTGATACTTCATGTCATATCGTAAGGCCTACACTTGGGGGGGAAAAGGAATATTTTGGAACACAGAAGCCAAGTATGTCAGATACTTCCTTTAACACGTTGTTAGATCTTTGCTGCACGTCATTTATGTTGATAAATAGCTTTTCCCTGCCCACTTTCTCTCACTGAAGGTGCTTAGAATTAAGATTTTGTTTTCTGGGGCACCTGGGTGGCTCAGTCGTTAAGCGTCTGCTTTCGGCTCGGGTCATGGTCTCAGGGTCCTGGGATCGAGCCCCGCATCGGGCTCCCTGCTCGATGGGAAGCCTGCTTCTCCCTCTCCCACTCCCCCTGCTTGTGCTCCCTCTCTCGCTGTGTCTCTCTCTGTCAAATAAATAAATAAAATCTTTTAAAAAAGTCTTTGGGGCGCCTGGGTGGCTCAGTCGGTTGAGCGACTGCCTTCGGCTCAGGTCATGATCCTGGAGTCCCGGGATCGAGTCCTGCATCGGGCTCCCTGCTCAGCAGGAAGTCTGCTTCTCCCTCTGACCCTCTTCCCTCTCCTGCTCTCTATCTCTCATTCTCTCTCTCTAATAAATAAATAAAATCTTAAAAATAAAAATAAAAATAAAAAATAAAAAAGTCTTTAAACAAACAAAGATTTTGTTTTCTGTTTGTTTGTTTGTTTAAAGATTTTATTTATTTGTCAGAGAGGGAACACAAGCAGGGGGAGCGGCAGGCAGAGGAAGAAGCAGACTCCCCACCGAGCAAGGAACCCGATGCAGGACTAGACCCCAGGACCCCGGGATCATGACCTGAGCCAAAGGCAGACGCCTAACTAACTGAGCCACCCAGGTGTCCCTTGTTTTCTGTTTTTAACTGTACAGTAAAACTTAGATGCAGATCAAAAAGAAGAACAAGACAAGAAGTTGACACGGAGGGTGGCTCAGTCGGAGGAACATGTGACTCTTGATCTCGGGGTCATGAGTTCGACACCCTGCTAAGTGCTGAGTAGTCACCCAGTGTCACACCCTCACCCCACAAGCCTGTTTTCCCAAACTCTGCAGCTTCCAGCACATGCCGCCACCACCACCACAGAACAATGATGCCACACTGCCATCAGTGAGTCTCTTAGCTGTGGACAATGCCTCCTTGACTTCTAATGCTACAGTCCCAGGTTCACACAGCCTTCAGGCAGTCCCAGGAACTGAGTGCTCTCCACGAGGCCCTCACTCCCCCAGCCACCAGTGCCACCTCTGCAGCCATGCCACGCAACTGGGACACACACCAGTGGGGCAGTGGCCCCTGGCTCCCCTTGCGCCCAGGCTCCATGTCCCACCTGGTCCCTCCACTCCCAGTACTGCTCAGCCAGAAGCACTAGCCACCAGTCGCCGCTCTGAAGAAAACCAGAGAAGGCCGAAGTGCCTCCCCAGGTTCACTCACCCACGAGCCCCTTCTTGGAGGATCAGCTCACCTCGGCACACAGGCACACACTTGCCCAAGCTGAAAAAGCGGGAGTGCAGCTCTTTGGTGAAGCAGATGTCTGCAGCCGCAGGGGTCCTGAAGTAGGGACAGATGCAGTCATCCCTGCCTCCCCTGCACCCTAATTCCCTGCCCTCCCCGCAACATGATGCCTGACATTGTCGGCAATGTGGAAAGGAGGCACAGGAGGGCCTGTGGAACCCCACCCCATGCCCTGCCTGTACTGCTGGACGCCGCCTCCTGGGCAGAGCAGGAGGAGGGCAAATCTGGGCACAGACGGGTGAGGCCTGCCAGGCCTACTGCGAGGGGCCCATTCCTCCTCACCAACGCATCAACTTCAGGTTCCAGATGTGGCGGAGTTTCAGGATCCCTAGAGAAGGAAAGGCTTCATGCCCCAGCTTGCCTGGTCCCTAGGGAGCATCTTTTTCTGTCACTCAGTTTCAGGGAATGAGGAGCGGGGGCAGCAGCACTACCATTTCCCTATGGCTGAAAGTAGCATCTTCCAGTCCCTTGGGCTGGACCCCATGTTGTCCCTGGCTTCTCCCTCTCTCCCATTCCCACCCATATCTTATTAGTCCTCACATCTGGCCTGCCTACCACCCTGATATCTTTTGCCACTGCCTATTCTTCTACACCTCTCCCTCCATTGTTACCGCCCCCACCTTAGTCCAGGTTACTGAATGGTTCTAAAAGCTCCTTCCTGGCCTCCTGGTATCTGCCTGTGGCACTCTACAGGCCCTTCTCTGCCCAGTGGCCAGGGTGGGCTCTGAAAGGCTCCGATTTGACCAACTGGCTTCCCATGAGCTCTACAACAGTCTAACCTCCTGAATTCATCAATAAAAGCCCTGGGCACCCCTCTACCCCGCCATCTGGGTTACTGGAGCCAAGCAACTCCCTGTGAGGTCAGCAGAGCAGGAACTTCTAGGTGAAGTGGGCTCCCAAATGAGGCCGGTTAAAGGGTACAAACTCAGCCTGGGGCAAACCTGGAACCAGGACACACGTCTCCCAGCCTCTAGCCCAGACCTTCCTTGACAAGATACCCTATGGTTCTCGGATCTGTTTCAATACTCTGTGGGACCTTCAACAGTTTAGAGAATGGAGGGTTCCACAGGCCTGATGCATCAAAGTAAAGCAGCCACCAATCAGACTTTGCCCTGCAGCCGTTTCCTCACTCCCTCGGTCCCTCCAAATTTCTGAGGCCCTTGCCAAGTTATTTTCTGAGAGAATACTGAAGGGGCCACAAATCCTATTTTAATCCTTGGGGCAGGACACCCCAGAAACAGGAATGCCAGGGATTTGTAGAGAGAGCCCAGTGAGAAGTCAGTTTGTTCTGCTTCTGTCTGGCCCCCTCCCGGGTTCTCTCCATGCCTCCCTGTGCCCAGAACCCTGGTGCCCGGTACCCCAGAGATGAGGGTCATCCATGCAGGACTGGTGATTGGAGACAGTGATGAGGGGCGTGGCTGGGCCTCGGTTCTCGATGAGTTCGTACAGCACCTCCTTGTTGTGGACGGTGAGGTGGTTCATGTACTCTGGGGGGAGAGACGGACTGTGGGGAGAGGTCTTGGCCTCATTCTCCCTGGGTCCCAGGGCTCCCCCCAGCCAAACTAGCCCCTACCCACGCCCACAACCCCAAATCCCAACTCTGGCTGGGCGTGGAGAGCCGTGGCCGACTCTGCCTCGGCTTCGGGCCCACTCACTGGTCCAGAAGCAGCTGTAGGTGCCCACGAGGCCCATGACGACGCTGCTGGCCAGAGTCCAGGTGAACGGCGGCACGGCGGGGAACGGCCATTTCACACGCAGGGGCATCTCCCCCGCCCACACCGGGCTCCCCCGCTCCCCCCAGGCAGCCCGGCGCTTCCCCTGCCACGGGGCAGCCTGTGGGGCCGCTCTAGGTTTGTGTCCTCAACCGCTGGAGAACCGGGTCCCTGGCAGGCCCGCGCCACAGACGGGCTCCGCGCGACAGGGGACTCGACCAAGGTCACCTCGCAGGTCAGGCCAGAGCCGGGCCGGCCCCCGCTCTCTCGCCACAGAGGAGGCGCCACCGAGGTCAGGAATCGGGGGTCGCAGCGAGAAGCGAGAGGGGCCGGCGGTGGCAGCCAGGGGCCCCGGGCCCCCGCCGGAAACCGAGCCAGCGACGGCCGCCGGCTCCCAGCGGCCTGTCGCAAAATGCTCTCAGGCCGCTTGACGGCAGCGGGGGCGGGCCCTTGGGCCGTGTGGCCCCGCCCCGCTCCAGCGCAGAAGCAGGTTCCCGGCCGCTGGCGCCTGCGCTTCCCTTGTGTCTCCTTAGTTCGTCCCCAGAAAGGTCTCTATAGGTAACTTGGGCTATGCAGCGCAATTACCCGACACCACTAAAGGTTGGAGCCGACGGGGCACTTTTATTTAGTTCTTTTTCCCTTTGTTTTTTACTGAGGCAAAATTCATATAACGGAATTAACCGCTTTGTAATATTTTGTGGCATTTTATATTCTATACCATATTTTATGTATATAACCTGTGATATGTTACATTATGTAATTTTTACATAGTTATCTGCAGTTTTACAGTTACAATATTACAGATATGTACAATATGTTTCTATATATGTAACATGCAATATGTGATATATATGTAGCAACATATGCCAAATAATAAAGATACTATGTATAATATAGTATTTTCCGTTATTTAGTACATTTCCAGTGTTCTCAACCACCACCTCTATTTCCAAAACATGTTTATCACCCCAGAAGAAAGCCTTGTATCCGCTAAGCAGTCTACTGTTTTATTTTTCTTCTTCTTATCCTTCTCCTCCTCCTCCTTCTTCTTTTTTATTTAAGTAATCGCTACGCCCAACGTGGGGCTTGAACTCAGAACCCTGAATTCAAGGGTCGCATTCCCTACTGACTGAGCCAGCCAGGCGACCCTAGAAACATTTTTTTTTTTCAATCGATACAACTGTGCTTCAAAAATAAGAAAGGCTGGCTCACTTGGGGTCTCCAGAGGGCGTAGGAGTGTGCAGCCACACTGGCAACCGGCCTGAGGACATGGAGAGGAGGCTCTTGTCCTCGGGGGAGCCCCCAGGCTCGCCGCAGGGCTCCCCTACGACGGGCACAAGCTCGGGCTCTTGTGTCTTCCGTACCAGATGCTGCCTGGAGGCAGCCCGTGTCGGGGACTGAGGGCTGGGCCTGGGAGAGCACAGCTCCGGGTTTGCATTTGCGCGCCGGCTCCTCCTCCCCGCGCACCCTTGGCACAGGCAACTACTCATTATGGGAATGCGGAGGCTCGATTACTCTCTGTGACTCACAGGTCTGTCATCTGCCCCCAGCTCCAGGCCTCCGCCGGCGCCTGCTTCCACGTGGATCAGAGAAGGTGGAGTCCAGCGCTCGGCCCTGCGGGGCAGAGCCCCAGCGCCAGGAAGGGTGGGGCGACCGGCCTGGCCGGACGGGTGGGTCGGGAAGACAGCCTCTTCCTCTTTTCTCGCCTACGGTTCCTGCCCAGACGGCTGCTGCGATTCCGTAGAGGTGTTGCGGTCCGCTTACAGCTGCGGCAGGCGTGGATACGAGCTGGTCTGAGGGTCTGAGTAGGTATGGGAGCCCTCTGAGCAGAGGGAGGGAGAAAGTTACCCACCCCCCCCCCGACCCCGGCCTGAGGACAGGGGTGAGAGGGGAAGGGAACCCCTGGGGCCAAGGCTTGGGCTTGGGAGCCTGGGCTAGGCTTTGGGCTGAGGCCAGAAACTGCGGTTCTTCTTGACCTTGGCCCTTGTGCGGGCCCCTGACGCCAGAGCCTCCAAGCCTTCCCTTCACAGCCCTGGGCTGCTCAAGTGTCCACATACATCCTAGAATAGTAACCGGGGCAGGGCACCCAAGCCAGCCTGAGTGACGGAGCAGGTGGCCAGGGAGAGACAGGCATTCAGCCCAGCCAGGAGTATGAAAGAGATGCAGAGACTAGGTGACAAAGAGGGGAAAACAGAGAAGAGAGGGCAAGAAAGACAGAGGAAGGCAGAGAGGGAGGTGACAAAATGTTACCTGGGATGCAGTGGGAAATTACTCAAATAAGAGGGCTTAAGAGGGCGGAAAGGGGCGCCTGGGTGGCTCCGTCGGGTAAGCGTCCTACTCGGTTTCGGCTCAGGTGGTGATCTCAGGCTTGTGAAATGGAGCTCCATGTGGGGTTCTGTGCTCACTGTGGAGTCCGCTCCGGATTCTCTCTCTCTCTCTCTCTCTCTTCCTCTCTCCCCCCTCCAAATAAATAAAATCTTAAAAAAAATAAGAGGGCTGAGAGCTGTCAGTAGAAGGGAGGGAGGAAGGGACAAAAGCAGAGAAGGAATATGGCTTATTTTGCAGAACCAACAGTTCCAGCCAAGGAGACACCCAACTAACTAGGTGTTTCACCTGATAGGCCCTTGCTAGGTGTGTCTTGCCTGATAGCCGCTTATGTGAGCCAGTTTGAGCTGGATTGGCACTGAGCATGGAACCCCCCCCCCCGTTGTCCTAAAGTAACTGCCTTTAGCTCATTATAATACTAAAATCTTCTCCTATAGGCAGAGTTTTCCACCCTTTTTTAAAATTTTTTTTAAATTTGTTTTTAAACATTTTATTTATTTATTTGACAGAGAGAGAGAGAGAGAGAGAGCACAAGTAGCCAGAGAGGCAGGCAGAGGGAGAGGGAGAAGCAGGCTCTCCACTGAGCAGGGAGCCCAACGTGGGGCTCGATCCCAGGACTCTGGGATCCTGACCTGAGCCGAAGGCAGCCGCTTAAGCGACTGAGCCACCCAGGCGCCCCTTGTCCACCCTTTTTGGAACATATGTTGTATGCACTATTATGTTGACATGCTAGGCATGCACAATTGAACCCAAACTGCCTGTGTAAGCTCCCTGCCCTGACCCCCTAATACACTGGATAAAAGCTTCCCATTAGTAACCTCATGGGGAGACAGTGCTTTGAGAGTCATCTCCCTGTCTCCTTACTTATAACAAGAACTAAAAACCTCTTTGTTTTCAATACTTCCTTGGGTTGTGTTCAATTTGGTGCACCTCAAGTGGTGAACCCCTTGAGTTTGGTTACAAAGGTAACAGAGAAAAGCAGGCAGACTGAAGTAGAGGGACTTACATTGCTTAAATGAAAATGACACAGATAGGGAGCAAGCAAGGGGCTGAACCCAAATGACAGGACAAAGTTTGGGTGCATCTGAAACAAAGATAAACCAAGAGAAAGGGGGCAAAATGCGTTTGTCTTAAAGATAGCATCTCACAAGCAGAGAGAGATGTTGAAGGTGATCCTCCTATTGCTAATGGTGGTGAAAAGTTGGAATTAGCTGTGCGGTCGAACTCTTGTGACCTGTTGGTGGGAATGTAAAAAAGTAAACCCGGGTTTATCCGTACAGTCAAATATTTTATCCATACAGTTGAAATCTGTGTGGTTTATCCACACAGTTAGTTGAATACTATTTGGCCTTAAAAACGACAAAAATTCTGACATATGCCACAACATAGATAAAGTTTGAGGACATTATGCTGAGTGAAATCAGCCAGTCACGAATAGACAGATACTGTATGATTTCTCTCCTATGAGGTGCCGAGAGTAGTCAGATTCATAGAGACAGAAAGTAGGACAGTGGGCGGGTGCCAGGGGCTGGGGGGAGGGGGATAGGGAACGAGTGTTAATGGGGACAGAGTTTCAGTTTGAGAAGGTGGAAAAATTCTGGTGATGGATGGTGGTGATGGTTGCACAACAGTGTGAATGTGCTTAATGCCACTGAGCTGTATACTTAAAAATGGTTAAGATGGTTTAAAAAAAATGGTTAAGATGGTAAATTCTATGCTATGTGTATTTTACCACAATTAAAAAGAATGAAGTGAAGGGGCACTTGGCTGGCTCAGTCAGTGGAGCACGAGACTCTCGAGCTCAGGGTTGTGTGTTCAAGCCCCAGGTTGGATGTAGAGATTACTTAAAAATAAAATCTTTATTTATTTATTTATTTTTTATTTATTTATCTCTTTAAAAGATTTTATTTATTTGACAGAGAGAGACACAGCGAGAGAGGGAACACAAGCAGGGGGAGTGGGAGAGGGAGAAGCAGGCTTCCCGCCGAGCAGGGAGCCTGATGTGGGGCTCGATCCCAGGACCCTGAGACCATGACCTGAGCCGAAGGCAGACGCTTAACCGACTGAGCCACCCAAGCGCCCCAATAAAATCTTTTTTTAAAAGATTTTATTTATTTATTTGAGAGAGAGAGAGACAGAGCATGAACAAGGGGGGGGGGGCAGGGGGAGGGGGAGAAGCAGACCCCCCCCTGAGCAGGGGCCCCCCCCCCCCCCCGCTGATGTGGGGGCTTGATCCCGGGACTCCGGGATCGTGACCTGAGACAAAATCAAGAGTCAGACGTCCAACCGACTGTGCCACCCAGGCGCCCCACTTAAAATCATTCAGAGGAAAAAAGAATGAAGTCTAGCCCTATGTGCTGATGTTGGAAGTTGTCCACGGGGAGAAAGGCAGGAAATCTGCGATGCTGGCCATTCTGGGAGGCTGGTGCTGGGCAGCAGGATGAGCATCACTTCCTCTGTCCCACGCTGCCATGTCCTTTCAGAAGCAGAACTGAGCCTAGCTGGGACCGCACCCCAGGACGGCCTGGATTCCTCCAGAGGGTCCCAGCAGCCCCCACACAGCCATGCACTGCCCAGCCGTGCTCCTTCTTCTCCTGCCTGGTGGGGCTGAGGCCTTTCGCATCTGTGCCTTCAATGCCCAGCGGCTGACGCTTTCCAAGGCAGCCAGAGAGCATGTGATGGACACCTTCGTTCGGGTAGGTTCATCACTGAAGGAAAGCTGTACCCATGACCCAAATCCCCCTGCCCTGCCTGGCCAGGGGCATTTCCCAGAGAAGAGGGGACATCAAGAGGCGTGGGTGTGGAGATGTGGAGCACATTCCTTCCCTGTCATTGGCCTCAGTCTCCTCTGTAACATGGATGCAGTGTGGTTGGGGTGGCACTCGGTCTTCTCCCAAGTCCTCGCTGGTCCCAGTGCTCTCTGTGGGCCTCAGCCAGAGAGCCGTATCACTCTTGGCCACATCAGTGCTAGTTCCCCAGGGACCCCACCTTCCTCCTGGGGTCACTGGCACTGAGTGGGGCCAGCCCTTCTGCTGTCCTGCAGATCCTGGCTCGCTGCGACATCATGGTGCTGCAGGAGGTGGTGGACGCTTCTGGCAGTGCTATGTCCCTCCTGCTTCGAGAACTCAATCGGTGAGGAGGGTTCTGTGGGTCTAATCTGGGCCCCCCCCCCCCGCCCGCCGGAGCCTCGGAGCCCCTAACCCTCGGTTTCCCTATCCTGGCAGATTTGATGACTCCGGGTCCTACAGTTTCTTGAGCAGCCCCTCTCTGGGGCGCAGCACATACATGGAGAAGTACGTGTACGTCTACCGGTAAGCACAGATGGTGGCCAGGCTGGGCTTGGCACTTGGCCTGGTGCGAGATGCCTCTGCAGTCCCGACAGCTACAGGGTCCTTCCTCCTGGGGTGGCCCTCACCTTCTCATTGCACTTTTTCTCCTCAGTGGTTTTATTCGGGGATCTTACTCTCCTCTACCCTAACCAGCTTTGATGCCCATGTGTCCCTATAGCAGGAGGCCTTCGTTCTGCGCGCACAGATGTGGGGCTCCTTTGCCTCTCACCTGTGGAAGCCACTGTGGGGGCTCGTTGTGGACCTTGGGCCAACCCAGTTTCCAGAGATAGCCCTAAGTTCTTGGGATAGCCTAGGGCAGGGGAGCCCTCGGGGGTCAGGATGGAGAGGGCAAGGGGGGTGGTCAGGTAAGGAGACCTATTTATTTTTTATTTTTTTTAAAGATTTTATTCATTTATTTGAGAGAGAGAATGAGATAGAGAGCATGAGATGGGGGAGGGTCAGAGGGAAGAGCAGACTTCCCGCTGAGCCGGGAGCCCGACGCGGGACTCGATCCCGGGACTCCAGGATCATGACCTGAGCCGAAGGCAGTCGCCTAACCAACTGAGCCACCCAGGCGCCCCAGGAGACCTATTCATACAGATGAAATCATATGTCTAGAATTCACTCCAAAATAACAAGGTGGGGGGTACAGAAACACATCCACATGGAAATGCTCATGACAGCCCCAGATTGGAAACAGCAGTCCAAGTGTCCATCAGCTGCTGACTGCATAAACAAAAGGTGGGCTCTTTATACACTGGAATGTTACCCGGCCACAAGTAGGAATGAAGAAGCTTGAGCCGTGCTGCGGCGTGGATGGACCTTGAAAACCTGTGTGCTAAGGGAAAGGAGCCAGACACAAAAGACTACATATTGCTTTGATTCCCTTCACACAAAGTGTCCAGAACAGGCAAATCTAGAGACAGAAAACAGATCAGTGGCTGCCAGCGGCAGAGGAGGAAATTGGGGAGCCACTGCTCATGGGTACAAGGTTTCTTTTTCGGGCCATAACAAGTTTCCAAAACTGAATGTGGCGATGGTTTCACAACCCTGTGAATGTCCTAATTCTTCTGTGGGTCTAATCTGCGCGCCCCCCCCCCCCCGCCAGAGCCTCGGGGCCCCTGACCCTGGGTTTCCCTATCCTGGCAGATTTGATGACTCCGGGTCCTACAGTTTCTCGAGCAGCCCCTCTCTGGGGCTGCTCCATACCATTGAATTGTGCGTTTTAAACGGGTGAATTCCATGGAATGTGAATTATATCTCAATAAAAAACAAGTTCTAGAAAAGCAGCTAAGAGGCTGCGGTCACATGAAATTGGGCTGGTAGTGGAGGGCCCCTCGCTGAGTGCCAGCTCTGATGTAGGCACTTGCAAACCAGATCAGTGATGTGGGGCCACTGCTTCTCATCCCTTGGTTTCCCAGGTCACACAAGACACAGGTCCTGGATTCCTACGTGTACGAGGACAAGGATGATCTATTTGCCCGGGAGCCCTTTGTGGCCCAGTTCACTTTTCCCAGCAAGGGTAGGAAGGGAAGAAGGGTGGCCCTGCTATGTGGGAGCCGGAAGGAGGGTCTGGCTGGCTGTGCCGAGGGCTTGGTTGCTGGAAAGAGGCTGGGTGGGGAGTGCCTGGGAGTGGGTGGGAGTCCTCCATTCCTGGGGCTTGCAGTCCTTCGCAGCCTGGTGCTGGTCCCGCTGCACACCACTCCGAAGGCCGTAGAGGAAGAGCTGAATGCCCTGTACGACGTGTTTCTGGATGTCTCCCAGCGCTGGAAGAGCAGGGTAGGGCTGGGCAGATGGCACAGGAGGGCTGGGGACAGGAGGGTTGGGTGGCCAGGTCTAACTGCTGCCCCCCCCCCCACCTCCAGGACATGATCCTGCTCGGGGACTTCAATGCTGACTGTGCCTCCCTGACCAAAAAGCGCCTGGGTGAGCTGGTGCTGCGGACTCAGGCGGGCTTCCACTGGGCAATTGACGACGATGAGGACACCACAGTGCGGGCCAGCACCCACTGCGCTTATGACCGCATAGTGCTGCATGGGGATCGCTGCCAGAGCCTGCTACGCTCCGCGGCTGCCTTCAATTTCCCGAGGAGCTTCCAACTCACCGAGGAGGAGGTGAGGCGGGGCGGCCGGGACGGGTTCCCAGGGAAGTCCCTGAGCCCCGGCACTGATGCTCTGTCCTGCCGCCTACCCCCAGGCCCTCAACATCAGCGACCACTACCCTGTGGAAGCGGAGCTGAACCAGGCGGCACCCAGGGTCCAGCCTCTTGGCCTGGCTGTTCTGTTGCTGCTACTCCTGCTCCCCCCGCCGGGCCTGGTGGCCTGAACCAGCCCCGAGCCTGCTGCCCACAGATGTGAGGACTGTGCTGCTTTCAGGACTCAAACCCTGCTCTCTCCGGTGTGCTCCCCGACTGCTCTGGAGCCGGAGAGACTCCTGAGAGGCTTCAACTGCAGCCCTCCTGCATCTGATGATAGCTCTACCCCACTGGACTGCAACCCTTTTCCATCTGCCTTTTCTTTGGTTTGGCTTGTGTTCTTTGGTTGGGCCCCTGCCTGGCATTAGAATGTAGAGGGAGGCAGGGGCCCTGAGGCTAGACCCATGCCACTCTGCCCCCAGCTAGTGTCAAGAGTGGGGATAGAGCAGGCTCCAGGGCTGGGGGAGAAAAGGGGGCTCAGGTGATTTTGGCTCAACTGCAGGGCTCAGAAAAGGGAATCACAGCAGACCAAAGGTTTTATTATAGGACAAAAAGGAAACTTACACGCTGAGAACAAAAGCTAAATTGAGGGGTATTACGTACATGTAGCAGATGTGCCCGAGGGCCATTTTTATTGCACGCAGGATCCGTATGAATCAATATTAAGATTCTAGCAGACACAAGGATTGATAAGCAGTTTACACACACACAGTAAGTAGCGAACAGAAAATGTTTAAGCTTGTTGTCATCCCATAAATGAAAATAGCTTCAAACAGCCCTGCTGCCTGCTGTCAAGCCCATGTTCACAAGCATGGTGCAGCCCAACCTCACCCCACCCAGGGTATGGTCAGTCCACACTGGGGGCACGTGTACGAGGCGTGGCTCCGGCTGGGTACCAAGGCTACAGGCACATACAGAAGAGAGATGCACCACTTCTGTTAACTAACAGCAGCTGTATGAGTACGTGCTCGTGCAGGTAAAGGGACTACAGGACGCTTAGCAAAATGTTACCTATGAGCCTATTTAGGATGTTGGTATAGAACACTCCCTTCCCCAGCTTCATTTCCCAGAGACAGAGCTCAGTAAAACCTGCTAGCAGGATTATCAGGGCCATTTACACACACAATTTATGGCTTGGAATCATCTCAAGGTCAAAAATAAAAGTAACTTTCAACCTTAGAAATGTCTGTTAAGTAATGATTACAAAAGGCCAGTGGATTTGATGCAACCCAGCTCAGCCTGGGGAGCCAGCAGAGGCACTCCGCCACCACTGTGGCCCACTCTGGAACCAGATCTCTTTAGGACCAGCTTCTGGCTGGAGAACCACAGGCCATCAGGCCTAGAAGGGATTCTCGGGGGCTTGTTTTTGCTGCCCCATGACACTGATGCTCCTTTTGGAACCCTGGTACACAACTGTACCAGACAACACACACAATTCTCCCAGACCAAGGGGAGCTGCGCACTACTTGCCGGAAGGTCGTCTTGCCTATGGGCCATTTCAGGTGGGGGGAGCTTGTTAGGTTGGATGCTGGCCAAAGTGGCCAAGGATGTGGAGGGGAGGCCCCAGAAGGGATGTGGGTCAAAGCTGCCTTACAACTCTAACACAAGAAACTATTCAAGGGCTGGCTAACCAGAGGGCCCATCTCCTACAAGGCTGGTCGAAACATGGCTGAACCATGCCTAGTTTTCACTTCTCCCCATTTCCAGTTACGTTACTGGCCTGGGATCCTCAGGGAGAGCTTCTATAGCACCCACAAGTCAGCCTTAGGCCACAAGCCCCCCCCCCTTTTTTTTAAAGATTTTATTTCATGAGGGGGGGGGGCAGAGGGAGAAGCAGGCTCCCAAGCAGGGAGCCTGACGCGGCACTCGATCCCAGGACCCTGGGACCATGACCTGAGCCGCAGGCAGATGCTCAACCATCTGAGCCACCCAGACGCCCCCACAAGCCCTTTTTAATCGTGGGGGCAGGGCACTGTACTAAAGGAGCACTCAATGCCTATGGACTCATCACAGACTGGACTTGCAAAGGGATATTTTGAACGGACAGCTAATCTAGGCACGTCCAAGTCAATGTCCTAACTAGACAACTGAGAAGATGCTGGTCCTGGCCAACTTGTCAGCCTTCTTCTCAAAATAAAGGACCGTGACTCAAGTTTCCCAAGAGCCCCAACCCTCCATGAATCCAGATGCACACACAGACAGGAAGTAGGTTTTATTGGTGGCCATGAAGAGGGAGGGGGCAGTGCCGAGATTCTCATGAGTGCAGAGCCCTCCATTTGTCCAAGGGGCCACGATTAGGGATGTATTTGACCCCACAGCCATCTGGGATAAGCCGCTTTTCAGCCACCATGTCTTCAAATTCATCCGCATTAAACTTAGTAAAGCCCCACTTCTTGGAGATGTGGATCTAGGGAGAGATGAAGAGAATGGCGTCAAGAAGCCTGGACACTGGGGCAAGCACAGGCAGGACGGTGGTTTCAGCACAACTCACCTTCTGGCGGCCAGGGAACTTGAACTTGGCCCTGCGTAGGGCCTCAATCACATGTTCCTTGTTCTGCAGCTTGGTACGGATGGACATGATGACTTGGCCAATGTGGACCCTGGCTACTGTGCCCTGGGGCTTTCCAAAGGCACCCCGCATACCTGTCTGCAACCTAGATTGGAGATAGCATGAGGTCAGACCTCAATATCCACTGGAAAGGGCTGTCTCCAAGGTCCCTTAGGGCAACCCATACAATCAACAGGCTGCATACACTACCAAGGAGGCTACTGTTTGCAGCCATGGCACACTGGGCCCCCATGGACAAAGAGCACAGTCGGCTTAATTGGCTGCAGAGAACATAAAACTCAAAAACAGACTAGCCAGTCCCTACAGGGTATCATTGGGCTCATCTGAAGGCCCTCCAAACTGTGACTGCTTCAGCTACCTGCTTGCTGGCAGATGGCTGTCATCAGAATTAAAGCTACTCCCTCAGAAGCACCTCCTTTCACCTGTCATCGAGAGACTAGATCTTAGTCACAATGCCTTTTGTGTTTGTTTCTGCAAGTCCACTCTGTGCAGTGGTATGAGGGGAAAATGGTCCATTAAAATCCATCCGGTAGCCTTTCACCTGGCTTTATTACAGGTGGCTGAACTCTGTCTGTGAGGCCCATTTCTTTGCCCTGATGAAAAAAAATCAAGCCAAACAAGGACCTCAAGGTATGGGAAAACACCTGAAAAGGCAGAGACCCAGGACCCAGCTCACCTGTCAGCTCCAGCACAGGACAACATCTTGTTGATACGGATGACATGGAAGGGATGGAGCCGCACTCGGATGTGAAAACCATCTTTGCCACAGCTTTTCACCATGTACTTGTTGGCACAAATACGGGCAGCCTCCAGGGCTAGGTTGGCAACGGGGGTAGGCAGCAGAGTGAGACAAGATAGCACAGAAGCATTTACTGTAACCCTCCCTAGCTCTCACAGTACATTTGTATTGACTATACTGACAAAAGCTCACCACTGGATACGATTAACTGATAAAACCAGGGCAGTCAAAAGGGATGGAATGATTAACAAGGAATCCTGCCTCACCTTCAGAGGAGAGCTGCTCATATTCATCTGACACCATGTGGCCACACAGTGGGAACTCATCCACTTTTGCCTTCTTCCGCCCCAGGTCAAAGATGCGGATCTTGGCATCTGAAAAGAACTTGGTAAGTGTGTGTGTGGCGGGGGGGTGGCAAATGAGTCAGTGCAGCAAAACCAGTTTGGGAGCTCTCCCACTACTTACCAGGGACACCTCTGCAGAAGCGAGACTTTGGATACGGCTTGTTCTTACAATACCGGTAACTGCGGAGAAAGGGGGAAGCCCAAGATTACAGTTCACAAGTGAACCCAACAATGAACACTTTTAAAGAATCCCTTAAATTGAGACCAAAGGAGAGCTGAGAATGGAGAGGACAACAATGTGTCAATCTCCAGCTGTCTCCACCCCTGGACGTTGGCTCTAAGCAAGACATGGTCAAAACAAGGTGGTCAAAAGTTAAGAGAACACCCATGTAAGAACATAAAAGTAAAAAATCTCATTTGATTCCTTATTATGGTTGCATGCTTCGCATTAAGATCAACCGGTCCAAAGGGGCTTTTCCAGGAAAAACAAACAAAAAAACCCTCTCTCTTCAAAGCACTCCAAATTTGCTGACTATTAGTAACTCAGTTCATGCCAGCCACCGACTTTTGGGCACGTGGCATTAAATCCGCCTCCGGACCACGTGTGAAGAGATTCTAACGCCCCCTGCAGGACACACGAGGCGGCCGAGCCCGTTTTTCTGGGCGGCCCTTGGCGTCCGAGAAAGGACGGGCATGTCGCCCGGAAATAAGACCGGGATAGCACACAAAGGCCCTGAAAGAGTACTGAGCCTAAAAAGGTGACGAATTTCCAAGACGGGGGGGGGGGGGGACAAGGCGGACGTCGCTTCCAGTCCGAAAGTGACAGAACATATGTACTTCAGGAGAGTAAGTCCGCCACCCCAACAAAACAGAGGAAACGATCAAGAGCGGCATGAACTTTTAAAGAAACGGATAGTATAAACGAAGACCCCAAGCGACCCGGAAGGTATTGGGAAAAAAGTGGAGTCTCTTCCAGTACAGGAAAGCCGCAATAGAGCCCCCCCCCCCCCAGGGTTGTTTTTAACAGTGAAATACAGTTCTCCCTTTTTCACAGCTACCAAATCGCACGGATTCGGCACTCACCACCGGGCGGGGCGGCGGCCCATGGCGACACCAGGATCTTCAGTGGCTGCAACGAAACAGACAAAGTCGGACAGAAGACGAGGACAGGCCTCAAACTAGGCCAGAGAATCAGCAAGGGCACCTCAAAAATCTACACTGTCTACTACTCACCGCGCCGAAGGAAAAGAGGCGCTCCCACGCCTGCGCGTGCCTTATATAGGCGGACTATCTTCGTGCATAGGTACCATAGAGTCCTGGCCAGGGCGGGTGGACGCTCTGTCACACTTCCCGGACCATAGACGCAGCGGCGTTCTGCGCCTGCGTGCAGGCGTGGCCTTCGCACACGCACAGAACAGGGGCACAGCTGCGTGTTAACAAACGGGCGGCCAGTTGGCCAATCCGGCCTCGCCACATCGGCACCCGAAGCCTGTTTCCGGCTGGCCATCTTGGGTGTAGAACTCTTGCCCGAGGGTTTGCCCCAACTCTGAAAGACATATATTCCTGGAATTAAAAGGAAAGTACCCTCGAGTGGGGCTTACGGCGGCTGCGTGCGTGTTCCTGGAGGTCACGAGGCTGAGACCCGGCCTCCGAGCCTCCCTCTGGGCTCCAGGACTCCACAGCACACGCCACGCTGGAGTCTCGGTCCGCGTTCCTTTGTCGGAGGAGCGGCAGGCTCACCCCGCCCACGTCTCCCCCGCCCTAACCGAAGAGTACGGAGCTGGTTGTGCTGTGAAGTACGCGCACAACCCGCGTTCACTGGAGACGCGGGGCGGGGCTGCGACCTCTCGCGAGAGAAAGGCCAAGGAGAGGCCTCCCCCATGATCCGGGACCCGAGAGACCCCGTATGCACCTTAGCTCCCGCCCCGCCCACCCTGACCCGGCGGAGAAAAGAAACCTGCTCCCCGGGGTGACTTGGAGAGGGACGGCGGCGGCCCCACCCAGGTTGGCAAAGGAACACTGTCACTCCTTCTCTGACTGCGCCCCAGTCCTAGCCTCTGAGAGCGCCATCCTGTGCGCTTCCACCCTCCCAGGGCCCAGATTGTGGCCCTGCCCCCCCCCACCCCTCCCATTGCGTGCCAGCGCCTGGAGAGTGTGCCTCTGAAATGGCTCGATATAAAGCGCACCTCCCCAACAAGAATAGTATCCAGAAAGGTGGGCAGAATTAGTGCTTGAGTGACCAGCGATCTCAGTAACCGCCAGTGTCCACACTTCTGGAGGTGGGGCCAGGAGAAAGGTAACAAAAGTCTTTTCCACATCACTTGATAGGTGTGGCCTGCCAAGGCGGGAATCCTGCTCAAGCACACCTGTTCTCCAGGACAACCTGTCACTTGAGTAAATGCCTGCAGGTCCCTTTGTGGTTTGCACTTCACAGCGATGGTGCAGAGTGTTATCCAGGGCACCCAGCTCCCCATCCCTCAAGGGACATCCGTTCTGGAAACTGGGTGAGAGCCTGTGATTCCACTGG